TGTGTGTTGCGGGGGCTTTTTCGACAAAACACCACTCTGTTCCCGTCCCAGGGCTACTGAGAGTTTGAAATACGCTGAAATAGGAATGACCTCTATGTATGTATGCGTGTATGTATGCAGGCAGGCAGGCAGGCAGGTAGGCATACATCCATGCAATGCATGTGTGTATGTATGTATGTATGGATGTATGTATGTATTTATGTATGTGTGTGTGGATGGGTGGATGTATGTATGTATGTATGCATGAACATATGTATATACATATATCGGGTTGAGAGGACCAAACGGTCATTCACTGTCCCTGGGCGCGTGGCTAAAGTGAGGTTCCACGGTGCGGATTATTGTTGCGCTGTTGCGGTGTTGTGGTGTTGCGGTGTTGCGTTGTTGTCGTCGTTCTTGCCCGCGACCTCTCCGCGACCTACACCGCGACCCACCTCGCGACCTACCCCGCGACCCACCCGCGACCCACCCCGCGACCCACCCCACCCCGCGCCGGACCCCGCACTCTTATCCGCAACTGCGTGGTGCTACATACATGTGTATATATACACTATAGATTCATAGATGTGCGCGTGTCTGTTGCGGGCGCCTCTTCGACTAAACACGGCCATGTTGCTATCCAAGGGCCACGGAGAGTACGGCATGAGCTGAAATTGGAATGGCCTTGATGTATGTGTATATGTATGTATGTACGTATGCAGTCATGCATGCATGCATGTATGCATGCATGTCTGTCTGTAATACGCATGTATATATATACGTTTGCATACATGCATACATACATATATGCATGCATGCACGTATGTCTGCATGAATGTATGTATGTGTGTAAGTATATGTTCATGCATGCATGTAGGTATGTGTGTATGTGTGTATGTACGTATGTATGTGTGTGTACATGTCGGTCTGTCTGCCAGTCTCCCTGTCTGTCTGTCTGTCTGTCTGTCTGTCTGTCTGTCGTTATGTCTGTCGGCTTGCATGCATGTGTGTATGTATATGTGTGTGCATGTATGTACGTGCATGTGCATGTGTATGTGTATGTGTATGTGGATGTATGCATGTCCGTATGTACGTATGTATGTAGGTATGCATGTATGTATGGTTGTATGTATGTATGTGTGCATGCATGCATGCATGTATGCATGTATGGATGCATGTGTGTATGTATGTGTGCATGTATGTATGCATGCATACATGCATGTATGTATGTGTGTATGAATGAATGTATGTATGTATGTATGTATGTATGTATGGTTGTATGTATGTATGTAGGTATGCATGCATGCATGCATGTGTATATACATCTGTGTATATTCGGGTGATAGGACCAAACGGTCATTCACTGTCCTTGGGCGCGTGGATAAAGCTGGGTTCCACGGTGCGGATTGTTGTTGCGTTGTTGCGGTGTTGTGGTGTTGCGTTGTTGCGTTGTTGTCGTCGTCTTCGCCCGCGACCAACCCGCGACCCATCCTGCGACCCACCCCGCGACCCACCCGCGACCCACCCCGCGACTAACCCGACGAGGACCTCGATGACGTCCTTGGAAGCCAAGACCATAGATTGCCTTTTTGCATAATTTCTCCATTTTTGCTTTTCTTGTCCTCGGGGCGCCCAAGACGGCCCAAGAGGCCCTCAAGATCGCCCCAAGATTGCCAAAGAGGGCCCCAAGAAGAGTCCACGCCAGCCCAAGAGGGGCTCATGGTAGCCCGAGAGAGCACCACGAGAGCTCCAAGAGAGCCCCCAGACTCTTCAAGGAGCCCCTGAGGGGCTCAGAAGGTCCGAGAGGACCCCGAGGCGGCCCAAGATGGGCCCAAGACGGCCCCAAGACAAGCCCAGAGGCCGCCCAAACGGGCCAGACCGGCCCCGGATGGCCCGAGAGGGCCCCAAGACGGCCCCAAGAGTTCCCAAGACGGCATCACCTCAAGTCCGTAGCCGTTTTGGCTCAAGCCACCCAGCTGCCTCAGGGCGGCCCTCGCCTCAGGCGCGGCTCGGAGCGAGTGCCGACCGCACGGCGCGCCACCATGCCGACCGCCCCCAAACCTCACCACCCACCAAACCACCCCAACCCAACCCGAAGGCCTCAAATTGACCTCCATTTCCAGTGGGGGGGGGGTCGGGGAACATCGAGAAAACACATATGGAACCTGCGAACGCGAACTACCCGTGAGCGCCCTGTAGGCCCCCTGAGGTCCCTAGGAGTGCTGGTGCCCTTTTCAGTTCCCGTGCCGACCCCAAAAGGGCACCCGGTGCCCTTTTCAGTTCCCGTGCCGACCCCAAAAGGGCACCGGTGGCCCCTAGCAGCGCTCCGCTCCGTAGCCACTTTTCTGGTTCGATAGGCCCACCGCGCGGGGAGCGCGGGCGCCCTCGGCCGCGCTTGCAGGAGGCAGAAAACATCCTCTCGCGATCGTGGAGTTCGCAGTGGCTTGAGCCAAGTGCGAGTGAGGAGCTGGTGATTAGACAGGAGCCTGTCACCCGGACGCCTGCGGACAACGGCGGCTTCAACACGAAGCGGTTCAGCGGCGACGGGAACGACGGCGCGGCGGCCTACAAAGTATGGAAGAGGTGGGCCAAGGCGGCGGTAGTGGTGCAGAAGGCGAGGAACACGCCGGCCGAGGCGCTGGGCCCGTGGTTGTACACGTTGCTCGACGGCCAGGCGGCGCTGGCGGTGGAGAACGTGGACCTGTCGGAGATCAACGTCGAGTCGGGCAAGGAGGTGGTGTTCGCTCGCCTCGACGAGCGGTTCCCCGACAAGGTCGCGGCGGATCGCTTGGGTGAGACCATGGAGGACGGCTTCAGCTTGCGGATCCAGAAGCAGGAGACCACGGAGGCCTACACCGGGCGTGCGCAGCTGGTGTTCGCGCGGTTGGCCAAGGAGGGCGTGGACCTCCCGTCGGTCGCGAGGGGCTACCTGATCCTGCGCGGCGCGAGGTTGGGCAACTTCGGCCGGGCGACGGTGATGTCGGCGACCCACCGGAGCTGGAACGTGGACGAGGTGTGCACGGCGATCAGGACGGCCTTCCCGGGGATCCCCCCGGAGAGGCTCACGCAGGCGGCGCGCGCGGTGGAGGAGGAGTTCGTGGACAGCGAGGCTCCCCCGCCGCCCGAGCCCTACCAGGAGGAGGGCGCCGAGAACGATGCCACTCAGGAGATTGACGCGATCGTCCAGGATGCGGAGCCCACCGAGGAGTCAGATGAGGTGGAGATCCTGGCGACTTGGAAGCAGACACGAGTGGCCATGAACAAGGAAAGGTTGGATCGCGGGCTGAGGCCCGGGCGGGCGGCACGGCCCCCAGGCCCCAGCGGGCTTACGCGGCAGGACCTCGACAAGCTCGGCCGGCGGGTGAAATGCTTTCGGCGCAAGAAGATCGGTCACTTCAGCCGGGACTGCAAGGGGGCTCTTCCTGCTCACGGCACCGGCATGGTGATCGCAGAGCCGATGGAGCCAGAAGCTGCCGGCGAAGTGCGAGTGGAAATGGTGCAGTCTTGCCTCGAGGACAACCTGGACGACGAGATCAACAGCATCCTGAAGGTCCACGAGGACAACGTGCTGGCGAAGCTCATCCAGGAGGAGCGGCGGAAGAGGCTGGAGCATGAGATGAAGGAGAAGCAGGAGGACGACGACGCGACGCCCGAGTTAAAGGCCACCGAGGAGGGCACGGTCCTGGGGGTGACGCATTCTGACGGGTGCTCGGTCCCAGACACGGGGCGTTGCAAGACCCTGATCGGTGAGGAGACGCTGATGAAGCACGAGGCGGCAACCGGCAAGAAGGCCAAGTGGCTCAAGGACGTCAGGCCGATGCGGTTCCGAGGGTTCGACAACAGCGCGCAGGAGTCCATAGGTGCGGTGGAGCTGGACTGGGCGATCAAGGACTACATCGTGACGTTCGTGGTGTACGTGGTGCCCGGTTCCGCGGGCTTCCTGATGAGCAAGCCAGACCTGAAAGCCCTGGAAGCGGCCATCGACCTCGAGACGGATTCGATGCACCTGAAGCGGCTTGACATCGCGATCCCTTTGAACGAGACGGTGGCAGGTCACTACGAGATCGACTTCCTGAATCGGGAGAAGAGGACCCGGAGGCAGATGCATGAGTCGGCGGTGCGCGTGCAGAACGTGGCCGAGAGCGAGGGCGCTCCGACTTTTCAGTAGGGCCGGGTCGGTGCCCACAGGCCGGGAGGATGGTGACCGAGCTGTTCTCCCCACCGCGGATTGTGCCGGTCACGGTGAGGTCGGGGTTCCTGGAGGGTCAGAGCCTCGACATGGCGCACGGCTGGGACGTGGACAAGGACAGCGACTACGAGGCCATGTGGCGGCGCATCATCGAGGGCGAGCCGTACTTCGTGCACGTGTGCCCTCCGTGCCAGAAACTGACGATCACGCAGCAGTGTGCGCCTTTGGGGCGCCGGAGAAACCTGGCACAACACATCGTGGAAGTGAGACGGTCGGTGAGCTTGGTGCACGTGGTCGTGGAGGTGGCGATCTACCAGATGGAGCGGGGCAGGCATTTTGTTTATGAGACCCCCCCGAGGTGTGCTAGCCTCCAGGTGCCCGCGATGAGGCAGCTGCTGCAGACGAAGGGCGTGTGCGTGGGCATTGCGAGCGGCTGCGAGTTCGGTCTGAGATGCCCAGACACCCTCAAGCTGATGCCCAAGAGCTGGGAGTTTGTGACGTCGGCACTGGAGGTGGCGAGGGCAGTCCACCGGAGGTGCGGAGTGGGACGCGAGCATCAGCACATTGAGGGCATGCTGAAGTGCGTCAAGCGCACGGTGTTCAGCCAGAGGTATCCCCGGAGGCTGGTGGAGGCCATCGTGCGAGGCATGCTGCGGCAGTGCCAGGTGGAGGCGTCCGACCCAGAGGCCGGGTGCGCAGCAGTGCAGGAGGAAGGAGAGCATGAGGTGATTGAGGAGGACGCGGACGAGACGCGGGATGTCTTACGTTGGCCTGACAGTTCAATCGAGAACAGCCTCCGGAGGCTGCACGTCCAACTGGGACACTGCAAAAACAACGTGCTGGTGCGACACCTTCGACACGCGCATGCCGCGGAGCAGGCGATCCAGGCGGTCCAGGAGTTTTACCGCCCGGAGTGCGAGGGCATGAAGTGCCCGAAGGTCGCTCGACACAGTGCGCCGGCAGAGGCCCATCTGCCCCTGAAGTACGTGAGTATGGATTGCAAGGACCTGCCGAGCTGGATCCCGGGCGAGCGGATCACGCGCCTGGGCATCATAGGTGAGATAAGCTCGCTGCACCAGGTGGAGCCGATGATTGGCCAATCGGAGACGTCGAAGAACCTCGTGGTCGCGTTCGAGCGAGCGTGGGCCCGTCCATGCATCCGCCCGAAGTGGTTGAAGGTGGACCCCCACAGGGCCCAGATCAGCGACGAGTTCACCAACTGGTGCGAGCGTCAGGAGATCGAGGTGGTCGACACGGCGGGAGATGCGAAGGAGCAGAACGGCAAGATCGACCATCACAACCAGTTGTTCGAGATCATGCTCGAGGGCGTCATCAGGGAGGCGCAGCCGCAGACGGAGACGGAGTGGCGAGAGTGTGTGACGGAGCTGGTGCTGGCTAAGAACAGTCTCTTGTCGGTGACCGGGGCGTCACCGATGCAGGTGGTCTTCGGTCGCAACCCGGAGGTGCCAGGCGACTTGCTGAAGGACAGCCCCGACCTGATCACCAACAGCGCGATCGTGAATGACCCGGTCGCGGCACAGCAGGCACGGATCAGGGCGATCGCCCGCATGAGGGTGCTCATGCAGCAGGACAAGCTGGCGGCCCGGCGGGCGCTAGACTCTCGACCTAGAGTCGTGGCCAAGTACCAGCCTGGCGACATGGCGGCGGCGTGGCGCATGATGAAGAACAAGGGCATTCCCGGCAAGCGAGCTCACCACAGGTGGCGGCCAGGAATCTGCATGGGCGAGGTGCGCGGCAACTACTGGGTGGCGCTACCAGGCGCGGTGGTGAAGGCAGCGCCGGAGCAAATGAGACCTGCGGTGCGCGAAGAGCGACACGCGTGGCGCATGGTGGAAGCAGAGCTGAGGACCAAGATGGTAGACCTGGAGCATTACAGCGGCCAGAGGTTCGAGGACATCACCGGTGGCGAGCGGCCCCCGGAGGAGGTTGGTGAAGAGGCACCTCCGCGTCCAGAAGATCAGGCACCACCAGCGGAGGCGCCGGACGTGGGAGACCAGGCAGCTGATGATCAAGCTGCTGACGCTGAAGATGATCAGGCGGAGCATCCCGCTGGGCGGAGGCGCATGCGCGGCAAGCAGACGGTGGACAAGCGGACCCTGGGCGAGGCGCACCAGCCAGCTGAGGGCCAGATGGAGGAGGGTCTCGAGGAGCCAGACGAGGCCAAGCGCCCGAGGTTGGAGGAGCAGGCGACTGCCCGGGCGTCAGCCGGCGGCTCGAGCTCGGCCAGCGGTCAGCAGCAGTTCGGAGGAGTAGTGTATCCGCCGAGCCTGCCGAGTCCACCGCTCCTGGACTCCGCGGACGCCCACCTGGCGGAAGACGTGGACGAGGACATCGTCGTGGGCGTGGTGGACGTCCTACTCACGCAGGGCAGCAAGGAGATCAACGTCAAGGAGGAAAAGTGGAAGTCGCCCCAGGGTCGCGCGATGATCGAGAGGGCGTACGAGAAGGAGATGACGAGCCTGGTGCATGAGACCAAGGCGTGGAAGCCGGTGGACCTGGAGACGTCGCGGCTGCTGAAGACGCAGGTGCCGGAGCGGATCTTGCGCCCGAGGCCGGTGCTGACGTTGCGATCCGGCGACGACGGCAAGGGCGAGGTCAAGTGCCGGTGCACGCTGCAGGGCTTCAAGGACCCCGACATCCTGGACCTGGTGCGTGAGGGGCGGGCGGCAAGCCCACCATGTCCACCAACGGGCGCGCGATGCTCTTGCAGACACTGGCATCGTGCAAGTTCGAGATGACGATCGGCGATGTGAAGTCGGCGTTCCTGGTGGCCGAGCCGGAAGCGAGGCCAAACGGCCCGATCTATGTGACGATGCCGAAGGACTACACGCTGAAGGGTCACCACCCAGAGCAGCTCTTCGAGGTGATCAACGGGTGCGGGCTTGGAGATCAACCTCAGCAGTGGTGGCGCACGTTCGAGCGGTTCATGGTGGAGGAGCTGAAGTTTGACCAGCACCCGATGGACCCGTGCGCGTTTTTGCTGAGGGAGCCGGTGACGCAGGAGAGCGCCCTTCTCGTGGCCAGGGACCGGGTGTCCGTGATCCCGTATGCCACGGGCCCTGAGCGTGCACAGCTTCGCGGCGAGCCGGGCGCGCTGCGCGGCATCCTCGGAGTGCACGTTGACGATCAGGTCAACGGTGGCCGTGGGCAGTTGTGGGATAGTGCGATGAAAAAGCTGAGAGCGAGATTCCCCTTCCGGAAGTGGGTGACGGGCAGCGGTGAGTTCACGGGATCGGTCCTCACCCAGCGGGCCGACTACTCGATCGTCCAATCGCAGTCGGAGTACACGAAAGGGATCAGTCCAGCTAAAACTAGGAGGTCGGCCCGACCCGATGATGTGGCCCAGCCGTTCGAAGTGCACAATCATATCTCGACTACGCAGCAGGGGAACTGGGTGGCGGGTCAAACGAGGCCCGACTTGAGTTGCCTGATTTCGTTCTCCCAGCAGATCATGCCAACCCTATGGTCGGACAGATTCGGAGATCGAATGCGTGGGTGAGGGGAGCGAAGCAGTTTCACGAGATCTCGATCACCTTCCTGAGTATCCCTCCAGAGCGGTTGCGTTTCGTGTGCCACTCGGACTACTCGTCGAAGGACCTGGATAGGACTGGTAGGACGCAGGGCGGGTACATCATAGGTGCAACGGATCCCTCCATGGCTAAGGGTCTCTTGGCTCCCTGGCGCCCTCTGGTCTGGAAGTCTCAGAAGATCAAGCAGGGGTGTACGTCGACGTTGGCGGGGGAAAACAAGCTTCTCAAGGCTTCCCTGGGTCACGAGTGGATTATGTGCGCTTTCGCGGCCACCCTGTGCCCCATGTTCTGTCTGGAGAACCGGGACAAATACTCCAGGAAGTTCTCGGCCATCAGCGCTATCGATTGTAAGTCGGTGTTCGACCATGTGACCAGGCCAGGGGCCCCCACAGGACTCGACGACAAGAGGGCCTCCATAGACATCGCCATAACCAAAGGGAGCCTCCGGAGGTTTGGTGGTACTCTTCGCTGGGGCCCGACAGAGCTCATGCTAGGAGATGCGTTGACGAAAGATCGAGCAGAAGCAGCGGATGTGTTGAGAGCATGTCTGAGAGCGTCGGCGTACCAGTTGGCAGATGAATACGTCACTTTGGCTAAGGCTCATGCTGAGAAATCTGCTCGCGCTAGCCGTGCCGGTGCCCCTGGCCCGCCTCCGGGCCTGCAGACTGGTGCTGTTCGAGGTGACGGGCAGCGACGAGCAGGCCAGGGCGTTCCTGCTCGGCCTGATGGACGTCGACCCGGACCTCTCGTCATCCGTGGTGGCGGATGCCAAGGTCAGGGTGAAGGTGCCGGTCAAGTCTCTCTTGGGGAGCGCGCCGGCCAAGACGGGCAACGCCATGGTGACACTGCAGTGCGTCGTCAGTGCCAGCAATGTGCAGGTGTGGACGGCCGCCGCGGTGGAGGACGAGATTCGCGAGAAGCTCGTGGGGCTCGAGAAGGCGCACGTGGCGTGGCAGAGCGCGCCGCCCGACGGCAAGCCGAAGATGGAGATCGAGTCGCCAGCAACGGAATTCTTCCGGAGCAAGACGGAGAAGCCTTACAAGCAGGAGCCCGAGGACGTCATGACGAAGATGAACCTGCCGACCGACGAGGGCTACGCCGAAGGAGTGGACGCAATCATGGAGAGTGTGACGTGGTCCTTGGAGAACTACCCGGTCATGCGCGACAGGATCTTGGAGGTGCTGCAGCAGTTCGTGCCGGACCCCGAGGACGGTCCGAGGTTCGTTCCGGCTGTCGGGGGCGAGTGGGATCCGGGAGCTGACTGGACGATGGGCGAGCGTGTTGGCAATGGGCAGTGAGTGAGGAGCACCGAAGAGAGAGAAGACGAGTGCGAACGCGAACTACCCGTGAGCGCCCTGTAGGCCCCCTGAGGTCCCTAGGAGTGCTGGTGCTCTTTTTAGTTCCCGTGCCGACCCCAAAAGGGCACTGGTGCCCTTTTCAGTTCCCGTGCCGACCCCAAAAGGGCACCGGTGGCCCCTAGCAGCGCTCCGCTCCGTAGCCACTGTTCTGGTTCGATAGGCCCACCGCGCGGGGAGCGCGGGCGCCCTCGGCCGCGCTTGCAGGAGGCAGATAAAATCCTCGACTCATCTATCGAGCTCGACTCTACTCGCGATCGTGGAGTTCGCAGAACCCGCACCCCCCCAACCCGAAATTCGGGTCTTCGGGTTGGGTTGGGGTGGTCTGGTAGGTAGTCAAAACCGGCGCGGCGGACGGCCTCGCCGGGACCGGCCGCGCAGGGCGCTGGCCTCCCGCCGCGGGGTGCCTCGCCGCGGCTGGGCCCGAGCTGCTGCTGCGGGCCGCCCCGGCGAGGCCCGCGCGCGAGGGGCCCCCGCCGCGGGGCGCCCTTGCGAGAGCGTCCTGCCCGGGGGGCTCCGCGGCGCGCTCGGCGACGGGCGCGCAGCTGCACTCCGCTGCGCCCCGCGCCAGGGGGTGGCGGCGGCGGGGCCCGGCCGCGGCGCCTGTCGCCGAGGAGCTGGGGGAAGTCACCAGCCTCGAACGCATCCCTATTCCTAAGATTGACACGCCAAAAGGCGATGGCAATCTTAGGGATTCCCCCCCCCCAAAAATGGGAACCCCTAAGACTGGCATCGTGATGGGGAGGTGCCCAGCATAGGGAGAGGGATATGTTCAAGGCTGGTAAGGAAGGGCTTCTGGGCGGGCTCGCTGAAGAACCTGCGGCTCGGCTCGGCGCCGCCCTCGCCGAGTGTCTCACGGCGCCCGCTGCCGGAAGGCGGTGGCGACCTGCCCGGCGAGCCCCCCAAGGGGGGGGGGCGAGCCCGGGGCCGCCCAGCTGTGCGGCTGGGCCAGCTGCCGCCAGCCTGTCCGGCATCGTGCTGTCCCTGCTGCCGGCGTCGGTCACGGGCCTGCTCTCTCCCCTGGGCCAGGATTGGAAGAAGCCCGACAAGCCTGGCTCCCAGATGGCACGCTCTGAGGCCACCTGGAAGCTGTCGGACCTTGAGCTCGGTGCCACGGTCGGCGTCGGAAGCTTCGGCCGCGTTCGCGTGGCGACGGTGAAGGACAGTCCCGAGACCACACCCATGGCCCTGAAGATCACCCATAAGGCAACGCTGATCAAGACGAACATGGTGAATCAGATCAAGGACGAGGTCAAGGTGCTCCGCATGATAAACCATACACATCTAGTGAATCACAGGGCGTGCTGGCAGGATGAGAGGTCGATGTACATGCTGATGGACTTCGTCAACGGTGGGGAGCTGTTCACCGTGATCAAAAATTGGAACATAGCAGAGATGCAGGGGCAGCTGTGGGTCGCAGAGCTGATCCTGGCAATCGAGCACCTGCACTCGAAAAAGGTGGCGCATCGGGACGTCAGCAGCGTTGCACCGTCAGAATGACCTCGCGTGCGAGTTGGATCGAGGAAGTCAGCAATCGCAATTGGGGTGATCGTTCAAGGCATGTCTTTTATTCGATGCGAAATAGCTTTGCACTTCATGTGGCTTGCAGGAGACCAGGGTGCCGAGCGCACAAACAAGGTCAATGCAGCAAGACGGTTCGGAGATTGCTCGACACCCCATGTTCGGGCGAGGTCAATGCCGAGACGGGGCACGGCTATGAGCCGTACTACCTCGACCACAACACCTACCTCTCTCTGCCTCAGGATCCAGATCACTGAGCAGGGGCACACGCTGTGGCGGAACTCCGCGATCGGGTACTGCTACATGAACAAGTCCCCCCCTTCAAGCCTGAGAACGTGCTGCTGGATAGACTGGGCCACTTGGTGCTCACGGACTTCGGATTCGCCGAGGTGGCCGACCCGCTTCTGTGGACGAAGTGCGGCACCTACGAGTATATGGCATCAGATTTGGTCCAGAGAACGGGGCGTGGGTGCGCTGTGGACTGGTTGGCATTGGGCGTCCTAACATATGTGTTGTTCGCGCGCGACGTGCCCTTCCACGCTGACACGAAAGAGGGCATTTACAAGAAGATTGTGAAGGGCGAGCGCAGTATTCCGAGTTACTCTCCAGGATTTGATCAGGAATCTTTTGAAGGAAAGGTCGCGGCGACTGGGATGTATGGAGGACGGCGTCGTGGGCATCAAGAAGCACCCATGGTTCAGCACGATCGACTTAAAGAGGTGCTTCACCGAAGAGTTCCGAGCCTCTGCCGCCCCAAAGTGAGTTTCGCAGAAGACACGTCGCGGTTCAAAACACGCTCGGAGAGCGATTTCGACGATCCGCCGGCCTTGTCGGTGGAGCAGCAGGCATTGTTTGATGTCGATGTCTGCGAAGGCCGCACGAGTTCGGACGAATCCAGTGAGCGGTTTCTGCCAAGCTACGGATGTTGCAGAGGTGGTGGTCGCAAGCAGGACCTGGTGGAGTTCGCCGAGGTCAACCACAATTGCTCATGACTACCAGGTTGAACCCCAAACAGTCCATCCAAGACTGCTTTTGTTTTTTTGTTGAGCTAGATATAGTTCTTCTGGAAAGCGCGGCATTTTTTCTGGCTGCGATTCGGGGGCAAATTTGCCACGTTCTGTATGTGCGTGTGTGGAGCTGCTTGAGGGTTTGCTTGGTCATACTCATATTCTTCCCTGCCTCCCCTTCTTCGTTTCTCCCTGCACTCGCATTTTCATCCGAGCATTGCCGCGAGATCGACTGCAGTAGGAGTCATCCAGTCCTTTTGCCACAAATGGCAATTGGCGTTGTCCGGCCAAGCTGATACATGCCCTCACATGGCACTATTATGTAAGCATGTGGGATGTTTGGGCGACTTGCTTCCAGTGTTTAACGAACTTCGACACGCTTCGCAGCATCTGTCCTATGCCAGGCACGTGCAGTTATCTTTTGCCCGTGCAGAGATCTGCCGAAGGATGGTAACCATTCGTCGTCCTCTCACCCGCTCTCCTCCATACCATTATCCTTTGCCTCGCTGGGCGCCCTCGCGACTGGCAGCTTTGTGTACAGTGCCTTGTATGCGCCTGCTGTGTAGGTGTAAGTGAAAGGCTGTCGTATGAACAGCGAGCTGGTTCTGGCGGTTTCGGGCTACTTAGAGGTCAGGTTTTTCGCGCTGCGAGCAAGGAGCAGAGCCTTGAAACAACAAGACGGCATAACCTCAAGAGGATTCGCCAACAGCTCCACAACGGCCCCGAAATGCTTCCGAGACGCGTCCACGAGGCTCCAAGACGGCTCAAGAATGGCTGGGTGAAGCCAGGGAGCTCATTTCAATGTCCTCATCGCCTGCGTCGCCGTCGCGTGCCGCCCTGTATCCAACGAGAACGGCGCAGTGATTCCCATTGTCCGCCAGCCCCAGGAGAACTTTCATGATATCATAATGAACCAACGAATCGGGCAACTCGGGTTGGGGGGCGTCTCTGGGATTTCCATGCCCTCGGTCGGTCGAAGAATGACTTCAAGAAGGTCTCGGAGAAGCCGATGAACGTCAAAAGTGTCTTCAAATTTCCTCCTCCTCATCCTGCTCATCCGCCTCCTCCTCCTCCTCATCCTCCTCCTTCCCTCCTAGAACAACCCAGAACGAATTCCTGGGTCCTCTTGGGTTGGGGGGGCTCCGTGCTCGGGGGACAAGACCGGAGGCGTCTCAGTGTGGTAGGGGGCGCAGCAGAAGCTCCGAACGTTCTCCAGACCGCCCAAGTGACTGCCGTGATTGGTGAGGAGGACCCAGAAGCTCAAAAAAGATAAAACGCCATAAGCATAAACTTTTGGCGCTGCGCGCGGATTTCTTGGATCCGCGCTGGGCGCCCCCGGCGACGCTTCCGGCGCCGCCCCTGGTACGCTCCGCGCGCCAGGGAGGGGGGTTCCAGCGCAGATCTAAGAAATCCGCGCGGAGCGCCAACAGTTTATGTTCATGGCGTTTTGTCGTCTTCTAGAGGCTCCAAGCTGCCTTCAAGACGGCCCCAAGACGCCCACGACGGCCACAAGAGAGCTCCGAGGAAGTCTTCAACTCATCACAATATGTAACCATCTTAACGGGCGTTTCAGGTTTTGGTCATTGCTATTTCCCGTAGTTCTGTCGAGGATGGCTCCAAGAAGGCTTCGGAGTAGCTGGTCAGCTTTCAAATATGCTTTCAGAGGGATCTTGCGGCGGAGGGTCGCAAGACGCGCTTGGAGTGTCACCAGAGAGCCCTGACGTGCGTGTGTTTCGCGTTGCGCTGGCTTACATTAGTCTGTCTTGCTTTGGCATACATTGCATGCCACGGTCTTGCATTTGAGTCGTGTTCCTTTTCCTGGCAATGGTTTGTATTGCTTTGATGTCCGTTGCATTGCCGTTGCATGTGTTTTCTACGGCAGCGTTTTGCATAGAGCTGCCATTGGAGCGCACTACTTCCGCGTGCTGCTTCATATCATTTTCGCATGTCATTTTCATCGGTCTACCTTTGTCGGTAGTTTTGCTCGGTCCGCGTTCTTGCTACGTCTTTACCTCCTGTTCCAAGAGTGGGTGCACACTTGCGTGCATCTGTGAGCTTGTCAAGGGCTGGAGCTTTCTAGACCCTGAGCGCGCGCGCGAAGCGCGTGCGGTTCTGGACTGAAGACGAAGCGACGTGGTAGTGAGACGCGTCGATGAAGTTTTTCATATCAAGCTCAGAGCAAGCAGCAATGTCAAGGAGGAGTGTAGGTAGAGTCACGCTTGCAGCTTTGGCTGACTGTGCAAGTCGAGGGAGCTGCACTGGGGTGAAGAATATTTAGCGTTATTGGATATTGAGGGTATGGGTTGATCACCATTCGCTTCATATTCCTGTCCATGCCCTAGCATGTTGCAACGCCCAACGGCTGGGATACGGTTGCAAATGTAGCCCTCCTTCGTATTTGAACCTGTGCTGCCCTCGTTGTGCTTCATTGCCCCCATGCCGCTCGCGTTGCTTCTCATGTCTTCGCATTTCTATGCAGACCCTTGCGTGGATATGTAATTGCTTCCTGTTTTTTCCACCTCTCTCACCCTCTCTCACCCCCGACTCTACTTCTCCCTCTCTCTCTCTTTGTCTTCATTGTATGTGTCCCGTATATTTCTCTCGTTATGTCTTCACTTCTCGGTATTCGGTCTTTCTCTTTCTCTCGCTGATTTCTTTCAATTTCGGTATTATCAGCTTTCTCTCTCTCACTTTCTCACTGCCTCACCTTCCCCCGTCAGCTGACAGGTTCCTGCACTCGGGTTTTGCGCGGTCGGCTGGCCAGACGTATACCCGACACCGCCGACAGCCGAGCCCCGAGGCCCGACGCCGCCGTCAGCCGAGCGCTGAGCTCGGAAGGACGCGCCTTTCTGCCCCCGGGGGCGCCAAAGGAGGGCGGAGGAGGGGGGAGGAGGGAGGAGGAGGGAGGAGGAGGGGAGGAGGAGGAGGAGGAGGAGGAGGAGGGAGAGGGAGAGGAGGCAGGGGGGGGAGGGAGGAGGGAGGAGGAGGAGGAGGCGGAGGGAGGAGGAGGGAGGAGGAGGGAGGAGGAGGAGGGATGGAGGGAGGAGGGAGGCGGGAGGTAGGAGGGAGGAGGGAGGAGGGAGGAGGGAGGAGGGAGGAGGAGAGGAGGGAGGGCGGGGAGGCATCCTCCGCCGTCTGGCCGAGGGGGTCTGTGATCTGACCGCGGGCGTGCGCGTCGCTCCTGCTGCGACCTTCCGCCTCCCCTTCCCTCGCCCTCCCTCGATTGGAGAGGCCTGGCGGCCGGTGCCGCCGACCCTGATCGAAAGGGCTAGGAGTGGGGGGAGGAAGTGGAGGAGGAGGAGGAGGAGGAGGAGGAGGAGGAGGAGGGGGAGGAGGAGGAGGAGGGGAAGGGGGGAGGGGGAGGAGGAAGGGAGGGGATGTGGCGAGGAGAGGCGGAGGAGGAGGAAGAAGGAGGAGAAAAGAGGAGGGAAGGAGGGCGGAGGAGAAGGAGGAGGAGGAGGAGGACGAGCAGGAGCAGGAGAAGGAGGAGGAGGAGGAGGAGGAGGAGGAGGAGTTTCCCTCGGCATCCTCCGCTGTCCCTCCTCATCCGTCCTCCGACGCCGGGCTGCAGTCGACTCCCCTCCCTCTTCCCTCCGCCAGGAGCGGGTCGGCTGGGGGGGGGAAATGGGCGGCGAGGGGGCGGAGGCGGAGGACGAGTCCTCCTCTCCCTCCTCCCCCTCCTCCCCCTCCTCCCCCTATGGCGTGCTGTTGGAGGCCCCGTCGCCGCCATGCGCAAGTCCCTGGAGAGGATCTCCTGGACGATGAGGGACTTCGCCACCTTTGTTACGGACCAAGGGGTGATCCTCTCACTGACCCTCATCTCTCCCCAGCTCATGCGCCTCCACCTTCGGGCTGCTGTTTTTCGAGGATTGGAGTGGGATGCTGGGGCTACATGGGATGTTCCTCATCGTCTGTGCTTCGACGTGGTTAAACATTGTCTGCGTAGCAAAAAGTTCTCGGCCTTCGAGAAGGGCTGCATCAGGGCCGTTGCCACTAACGCTGTGTGGACTCGTCAAAAAGCCAGGGACCTTGGGTACGACGTCAGCGTTATGTGCGACAAGTGTGGAACCGCCCCCGACACCCTCCACCACCGCTTATGGGTCTGCAGGTGCCCAGAAGTCCAGGAGCTTCGTGAGAGCCTCGTGGAGCCAGCAGTCATCCAGAGAGCCTTGCAGGAGCCTGACAGTGTGCTTTCGCGTTTCGGTTCCTTTGCGCATCCTGGGGACTATTTTCCCAAGCCCTCGGGGGAGCCCTCTGGCACATTCTTTGCTCCTGAAGGGCTCCCCCAGGACCCCCAGAGTTTTGATTTCAGCGGGCACGTTTTCACTGACGGGAGTGCCTCAAAGCATGTGGTGCGTGAGCTTTCACGTGCTGGATGGTGATTCGCAGTGGTTGACCTGTCGGGCGTCTTGCGGGCCATGATGTATGGCCCCGTGCCGCCGTCGTACCCGCAGGCAGCTCCTGCAGGAGAATTCGCCGCCTTCTGCCAAGCAGTCCTTTTCTCTAATGCTCCGTCGGTTTTTTACACTGACGCGCAGCTGGTCAAGGATCACTTTTCTTTGCAACCCGAGGATCAACTGTCGCCGAAACGTTGCTACAGTGGTTTCTCGTTGTCTCTTTTGCATGAAATGTGGAAGGTAAACGCCCTCCACAAAGTCAAAGCGCATCAGTCTCTCGATGAATGGACCTCCGAATTCGATGAGATGTGCCGTTTTGGGAATCATTATGCAGATGTCGGTGCTAAAAAGGCTTCTGGCGGTGAAGGGTACCTTGGTCACCCGCAGCCTTCTGCGGAGGACCGAGATAGGTTGGATCCCGACATCATATTGTCTCGTGCTGTGTGTCAGCTAGCGGCGAAAGTGCTTCCTAGTTGGCCGCGCCTAGACCTCAGTGAAGCTTCCTGGACTAAGCCGTCGGTCTCTTTTGCTGTGAATTCGCCGTCTACCAGGTGCCAGTGGACGATTATTCAGAATGTACAGTTGGCTTCTTCCCCGGGATTTTGGAAATGCACGGCCTGCGGCAGAGTCAGTCGATCTCCCACCGACGGCCCGCCCCCGTGTGCTCCTCTGTGTCGGCCGATCTCGGGGCTTGAAGCTGGTGCGCTTGAGAAAAGGGGCCGCTCTTGTATTACGTTGTCGTGCTCTGACCAGGCCTAGTTGGTTGTGTGCACGACGTGCTTCTGCTACTCTTCTCATGGCAGAGTGGCTGGGCTTGGTGGAAGGTGCGTGGGTCCGACCAGGTCGACTTTTTACAATAATTGGGGGCCCATCCGCAGAGGACGGCACCCCAAGCGCCCAGAGGTCACTGTGGAGCGTGGCCCCTGGGGAAGGCACTCTTTTGGTTTTGTACCAGACGCGGAGGAGGAGGAGGTCCCTGCCCCGTCGTCTGAGCCTCCCCCCACCTCGGCCTCGGAGGAGGAGGAAGCGCGAGAGAGACGCCGTGCGGCCATCGCACGACGTCTCCTGGCTGCGGCGAGTGGTCCACCGAGGGACCCGCCGTCTCTGTCTCAGGCCACTGGCCACGTGTCGCAGGAGGCCTCGCCCGCTCTTCTGGAGTTGAAGGCGAAGGCCCTTTTCGTCTCGAAGCTGCCGCATCGGGATGAGGGCGACTCCAGTTCTGACTAACGCCTGGGGGAGAAGCGGTTGGCCACGGCGAATCCTCCTGCCAGCTGGGGATGTCCATGTGGCGTTCCGCCTTTCCTTTCTTTGCAGGTGTTATAATTTTGCTGGCTCTGGCCAGCCTGCCTGCCCTAATTGTCTGGGCGGGCTCTCACCTTGGATGTTGATGTCAAAAAAATCCCCCTCCTCCCCCCTTCTCCCCCTCCTCCCCCTCCTCCCCCTCCTCCTCCTCCTCCCCCTCCTCCCCCTCCTCCTCCTCCTCCTCCTCCTCCTCCTCCTCGTCCTCCTCGTCCTCCTCGTCCTCCTCCTTTTCCACATCTGCGACAGCTCGACACTGTGGCAGTCCATATCGCCCGCTGCAGGCCACCACATGATGGTGTCCCCCCCTTCACCGGGCCCCGCTCCCCTGCGGGCCTGCGTGCTTGAGGCCCGATCCAGGACGTCGGATGTCTCGATCTTGTCAGTGCGGGGCTCATGGAAGCCCCGACCCCTTTCCCCTGGGCTGGCTTCTCGTCCCGAGCAGCTGTTCGATGGTCCAGGGGCCTTGCGGGGGCCCCCCCAGGGGCCGAAAACGGCGAGTCAATTCCGCGCAGCACGCGCACCACATGAGAAACTGGCCCGTCAGCGGGCGCCCGATGGGCCCACAGGGCGCGGGGGCGCTTTCACTGCGAGGCTCCGGGGCGGCGCAGGACGTGCCCCCGAGAGTTCTCGCGGCAAGACTTCTGGCCGTGCGCGCCTTCTGTGCGGCGGGGGCGTTCTTTAGGGAGTGTGCCCAGGATGCTGCAGACCCTGGAGGGTTCCTCGCCTGATGAGGGCGGCGGTGATATCCACCCATGGCCGAGCCGCAATCGGTGTTTTTCCTGCTTCCAGACCCTGGGTTCTTTATCCAAGGGTTCCTTGTCCAATGCCCTCACCGTCCGTAGCCATTTTGGCTCAAGATGCCTGGTTCCCCCGTGGAACGCGTGGATACCGCTAGCCCGCGGTAGTCTTCAGCGCGTTTCCCCTTTCCCTGGGTCCGCTCCCACGGACAGCTGCCTGCCGCACCCGCGGATGAACAGGCTTCTCAGCCTCTCCTGGCGCCTGGATGGGGCCCAAGGCACAGCCAGGCTATGTCATTTGCACTGTTTGTCGGTTCCGTGGAACTTTCGCAGGGGCGAGCTCTGCTGGCAGTGCGGTCATGCCCTCGAGTTGCCCACCCGTGGTGTCTGGAGTGACGGCGAATCGCCCACAGGCGGAGTTCGAAGAGGTCTCCAGGGCGGCAGACCTGCAGGCGGAGCGGGTCTTCCGACCAACGGCACGAAGGGCAGCATCGCCCACGTCGGCAAGGGCGCCGACCCTGGCAGCGGAGCCGCCTTTCCGAAGGTTCCGTGGGCGGCCCCGCCCAAAATCCGAGCTGGCCGCGCTGCTGGCCGTCCCCGACCCCGTCCTCGCGGCCCAGCTCCGCGGGGCGGTGGAGGGGAGGCGGGGAAGGAGGGGGAGGAGGAGGAGAAGGAGGAGGAGGAGGAGAAGGAGGAGGAGGAGGAGGAGGAGGGGGGCCCGCGGCTGCTCCCGGCCACAGCCCGCCCCGATGCGGCGGTCGCTGGAGCAGCAGCTGCAGCCTGCCGCGGGCCGCGCCAGCTGGGCGAGGCAGCGAACGCCATGTGACGAACGGACAGCACGCACCCATACCCATAGGGGGTCGTTGGGAGGAGGACTGGCTATGGGTATGGGTGCGGGTTGTCGGACCCTGGGGAACGCTCCCGTTCGAGCGGGGACCCCCATCCGACAATACGCACCCATAGCCCTCTCCGATCCCCCTATGGGTATAGGTGTGTGTTGTTGGTTCGTCACCATGGCGGTGGCTGAGGAGCAGCTCGCCGAGTGGCGTGCGTGGCGCGATTCGTGTGCACTCAGCCTCGCCGAGGCGCTGGCTGAGGAGACCGCTCTCCTCCGTCGCCGCGCGCAGGCGTCAGGCGTGGGGGCACCGCTGGAGTCGGCCAAGCAGTTCGTCCTCCATTTCAATGCCGGGTCCTACGAGAACTTCGCGGAGCTGGGGAGTGACGTTCAGGAGAACCGCAAGAGGATGTGCGCCGACGGTCACGAGGTCACGCGTGGCGCCACAGAGCAGTTCGAGAAGAATGTTAAGGAGCAGGTGGCCCGCATCAGGCAGCATGTCGAGGGGTCGCCAAGAAGCGCAAACGCGACTTGCCTGAGGCGCACTACGGGGCGGGGCTCCGACCAGGGCGCCGCAGGGGGTCTGGCTCCAGCCCCTGGCCATCAAAGCCCAGCTGCTGCTCCCGCGACCCCCCCTGGCGCACGAGCCCGCCGCCAAGTTCGGGAGCCTCGAGACGGGGGTCAATGCAGACGGGGGTCAGCCACGGCACCGGATCCTGCAGGATCCTGCGAAGACCCCCTCTGGTTGACTTGGGTTGGCGAGCCGCTCGTGGCCGCGAGGCGGCCGCGCATATTGGCTGACCCGGGTTTGCGAAGACCTGCGTTGCAGTTTTTTGTTACTGCATTGCAGTATTTTTGTTCCTTGCTGACCTGGGTCTGGATTGACCCAGGTCAGAAGATCCCCGACAAGTCCCAGCTCGTCGCAGAGGGGACGGCCTTTGACGCGCTGCCGCCTCGGATGCCGCGCGCCAGCGGGCCGCCGCAGCCTCCGCGCCCGCGAGCAGCAGCGGTCCCGCGGTGGCTCCTGGTGTGGCTGCTGCTAGTCTGCATGGTGGGCAGTCCTGCTCATGGCGCGGATGCGCAGCCACACGATGGGGGACAACGCAGGCCTGGGAGGAGAGCCGATCGCACGGCGCCGTACCGATCGTGGGCGCCCTCCGCCTCGCCTTGGGTGTTTTGCGGTTCGAGTTGACGTTCCAGCCTTTCCTGGCGCAACGTCGTTCGGGAGCACTGCCCTTTGTGACCTGACGCAGGCTGGCCAGAGGATTCATCATCTGAGCGGGGTTTGCGGTTTGCGTCGCGCTGGAAAAAAAAAGAAGCCCTTGGCGGGCTGACAGCCCAGCGGAGGAGCTCGTTGTCTTCGACGGTGACGGAGTCGAGGACCACTTCCAGAGGGCAGATCTCATTCCTCCGCAGGATGTGACTGGCAGCACGAATCCGAGCCAGGCGAACGTATGGAATCGCGGGAATGCTCTTCATGTTGTGCTGGGTGAAGGATCGTGCGCGAGGCCCCCGTGCCATATGCTGAGACGAGGCCTTCGGCCTCAACCGTCAAGCTCCAGCTGCTGAAGGCCGTCGAGCCGCCCGGAGCCAAGCCTGCCTCCTTCGTGACGCTCAGCGGCTCTACGTGGGCCCGGATCCAAACGGCGATCGGACACGCCGTCCCTGGGCGACCAGCCCAGGGACGACGTGATCCTGGTTGAGGAGACCCGTTTCCCAACGAAGGTGGCGGAAGAACCCGCCCGTAGGTGGGGCCCAAAGGACAGCTTCTGTGCGGACTTCGGCCTCTGCCGCAGCACGGGGACGTCGGCGCAGCCGGCGTCCTCCGGGGTCGGGGCGCTGGCGCCCAAGCGCGGCGGGGCGGCGCCCGTGCCCCAAACGTGGGGAGCCATGTCCTCGCGCATCCTGGCGAAGAGGGTCGCGTTCGGCGGCCTGTGCTCGGTGCTGGTTAGTCTCCACGCGGAGCACTCCGTGCAGCTGGGCGGCGTCAGCGCCGGCCTGCTGTCGGAGCAACAGGTCTGCCCGAAATCTTTCAATCAGCCGTCCATCGTTGGCGCCGACTCGAAATGGGGCCGAGCGTCCTCGAAGGCTCCTGGTGGCCGAAGGCACTGGGGGGCGCGGTGGCGCGTCCGCCCTGCTCGCGTGCGGCGACCGCGCCTACGATTACCTTGCGATGTCTTCGGCCCTGGCGGCTCTTGGGCCCCTCTGGGGGCTGTGTTGGGCCTTTTTGGGCGCCTCTTGGGCCGTCTTGGGGCCCTCTTGGGCTCTCTTGGGTTCATCTTGGGGGCGCGTTGGGCCGCCTGGGGACGATGTTGGAGGCCTCTGGGGCAGGACGCTGTGAGCCCCCAAACGCTGCATATGCGACAAATGTACGTTGTCCAAAGGGTATGGGGCGATTTTTTGCTTGGTGGGGCCCTCTTGGAGAGCCTCTTGAGGCTCTCTTGGGGCTCTTTTCGTGGCCTCTGGGGCCATCTGGAGACCATCTTGAGCGTCTTGACACAATCTTTCGGCGACCAGGCGCCTCTTGGGCCCGTGCGGGGGGCGGCCCGACGCCCTCTTGGAACTCGGAAGATTGTCCCGTAGCCTGTTACCGAAGATCTTAGCACGCCTCTGGCCTGTTGGGACAGCGATCTTTTTTTCCCTCAGGGCCTTGGGAGGGGCCCAAGGAGCATAGAGATGAAGATGTCTGTGGCGGTCAACATGGGAATCAATGGCTGGTTCGGGCAGGGTTCGGATGTTGCCATCGACACGGGGCAAGGGTCGAGCACTCTGGGGCCCCTTCCGCGCAGGCATCGCATGTCGGGGGGTCTGGGGCCCGCGCCGATCCAGGGAATCCGCGCGGAGCTCAAAGAACTTATGCTTGTGTTGTTTGTCTAGAAGGAGCTGCGGAGGGCCAGCGGAGGGCGGAGCGATTGCTACGGCTTTGCCAGGCACAGCGCGTCGTCTTCTTCACACGACGATGCACTTGTTCCACGCCCTGCAGCCTCGTGAGCACACGCGCCGCGCACGCGTCGGCGTCCCTGGCCCACTCTTTGTCGCCCTCCCTTTCTTGGAGGCGCGTTTCCAGGCGGAGCGTCCTGCGTGCCTCGCTCGTCGTCAGGTGTTCCTTCTGAGGCCCAGCGGAAGCTGGCGGAGGCTTAAGTTTCCCGCCCCTCTCCTTCGCCCCCTTTCCGAATAAACAGATGTCACTTTCGCTCGACGCCACGCCGACATACCATGTGTAATACTGTGTGTGCGTCGCTCCATCCAGGGGCGACGCGCGCGCGCCGAGAAATCTCCTAGTAGTAGCCCTTGTGGCGGGCGCTTGTGGGCTAGGCCGCTCGGGGAACGATGTATATATACACACACATACATACATACATCTACACACCAGACGATGGTTGTACTATGTGTGTATACATATATGTATGTTCGGGTCCGACGCGCGCCTCCGAGGAGGACAGATATTGCATGCCTTTGTGCGCCCCATTCGCCGAGCTGCAAGGCCTCGGGGACCCTCGGGATTGTTTGTTGGGGCGGCCGTCTCCGCAGGCTGTGTGGGCCGCACGCGTGGGGCCCCGCCCCGGGGACGCGCCCTGCGCCTCCCCGAGGGTCGAGCGCCGGCCGCCCAGGGCGTGCAGCCTGTTGGCCCAGTGGTGGGCAGCCGTGGTCGTTGTGCGAGGCCGAGGTGGCGACGTCGGAGTCGTTGTTTTGACCGCGGCCGGTCCGAGGTATGGGGACCCAAAGAATATACATCACCACCACGTCGATTCCTCCTCTCTCCTCTGTCCAGCGAGAGGGAGGGGGGGAGGGAGGTGGTGGTGGTGTATATTTTTGGGCCCCCCAGGGTATGCAGGTCGAGGTCGGTTGGGAGAGGGTGCCCTGATGGTTCTTCGTAGTCCTGGTGGCTGCTCTGGTGCACCCTGGGGGGAGGGTGTCCTCGAGAATGTTCTTCAGTTTTGGGCCAGCGGAGTGCCTCGTGTTCTTGGAGGGAGTTTTTCTGCCCTACGTGCGGCCGTATGCTGTCTTGGGGTTTCGAATGGGCCGGGTTGAGCGCTCTTCCTCCTCCTGCCCTTTCTTCCCCATCTCCTCTTCCTCGTCCTGCCCATTCCCTCCTTCCTCCTCTCCTCCTTCTTTCTCATGCGCTCTGCTGACTGGTGCCCGTGAGACAGCATACTCGAATTGGAATCCGAGTCGCCAGGTGACCAGGTTGCCAGGCTCCCTCGCACGGGGCTTGTGAAGGGTAGATCTCGGCATTCGGTCTACGGGCAGCTGCGTGTGCATCAGAGGCATTCCAGGACGCAGGGACGTCCCCGTGGCCGTGTGGAAAGGCTGTGTGTGCTATGCGCAGGCGCGCGTGCACCAGTGCGCGCGTGCATGCGCATGCGCACGTGTGCGTTTGTGTGTGGAAGTGAATGCGTATGCATGTTCGTGCGTCGTGTGGTCAGGCCGTCGTTCTCGTCTCGCGCTATCCGCACCTCAAAGGAATCACGGCTCCCAGGCGTCAGCCGTTTTCGGCGAGGCTCCGCTGACCAGGGGAGGTTACTCAGTTCGAGCGGCTGCTTCAACGGGCCGAATTGCTACGAGCCTCACTTCGAAGTGTTGCAGGCTGCCCGTTGCTGGCCCTGATGATTACCCGCGACGATTGAGAAAGAACGAGGGAGGGATGGGGGGGGAGAGAGAGAGAGAGAGAGAGAGGGAGTGAGCTCTTGTGAAGAAGAAGAAGAAGAGATGCCTACAAGACCAGCCGAAGGCCGATACGGACAGTGGGAGGGGATTGAAACCAACGAAGGGACAACCGTCGTGACACTTGTTTCTATCTATCGACTAACCTTCATCTGTATATATACGTATATGTATACACATGTGTCCATCGATATCCGTACATACCTATTGATATCAGCGTCCATCGATAGATCTCACCATCGATGTATGAACTGTACTGTATAGATACATATATGTTTACACCGATGTCGCTATGCCTAGAGTTGTAGAATTGTATTCCTATACATCTCTATATTATATTATATTATATTATATTATATTATATTATATTATATTATATTATATTATGTTATATTATATTATATTATATTATATATATACATACATACATATAACGGCGCACCGGGTCCGGGGGCCCGGGGCCGGGACCTCGACCACAAATGTGGGCCCCGGGGGGCCCGGAGGCTCGTCGGACCGCCGGACGCCGTCCAAGATCGTTCGCAGGCGGCTTCGGAACGCGCTCCGATGGCTCCAAATGCCTTCCAAGACGCCTGTCATGACACCAAGAAGGTCCCAGAAGCCTCCAAGACGCTCCGAGAGGCAGCCCAAGAGAGGCCCAAGAAGCAAAAATCGTGCCATTCCTATGGGAAAACGTATATTTGTCGCATGTTCGCCTCTTGGGCTTTCACCGCGTCCAAGACGGCCCAAGAGGCGCCCAAGACCGCCCCAAGACGGCCCAAGAAGCTTCCAAGAGGGCCCCAGGACAGCCCAAGAGGGCCCCAAGACGGCCCAAGAGGCGCCCAAGATGGCCCAAGAGGGCCCCAAGACGGGCCCAAGAGGGGGCCCAGAGGGGGACCACGAACGGCAAGCTCGAGCCTTCCGCCCCAAGAGGCCGCCAGGAGGCCCCAAGGAGGCCCCTCAAGTGGCCCCAGGAGACCCCCAAGAGGCCCAAAGGAGGCCCCGAGAAGCCCCAAATCGGCCCCCAAAATGCTTCGAACCTGCTTCCAGGAGGCCTCCGACAGGTTCAGAGGCTCCCGAGAAGCTACGTCAAACTCCCAGCGAGCGGCCGGACGAGGCCCCCCAAAAATTCCCAAGAGGGTTCCAGTATTTGTATCCTTCAGCGCTCTCTGGCCTTCTTCCCCCTGCCCCCTTCCCTGCGACTTTCGTTGACTCAAGCTCGCCTCCTAGCTAGAACCTAAGCGCGCGCGAAGCGCGCGCGTGGTTCTAGTACATATGTATGCCTCGCTATCCGTCCATCGGTCCAATTGTCATTCGATGTGTTGATATATTGAACCAGGCATATATATATATATATATATATATATATATATAAAGTATGCATGTATTCTCGCTACATGTATCCACCTGCCGATCCCACCATATCTGTCATGGGTCACACAATCCCTCTATTGACCGCGCCATGTGTATGTATAGTATGATCGCAGGGTCCGTCTCACGACCGATCTCTCGATCGACGTCTCCGTATACATGTTCTCCGCATGCATTTTCCCATCGCGATCATAGCATGTGCCAGTCGACGAGCCACCTCCCCAAACTCCAATATACATGCGTAACACATGTATGTAAGAAGAGGAAATAGACAGAGGGAGAAAGAGAGAGAGAGGAATCTAGAAAGAGAGAGAGAGAGAGAACAACAGAAGCGAGATAGACAGAACAAAGAGAGACCGCGGGATAGAGAAAGAGAGAGAGAGAGAGAGAGACACACGGAGGAAGCGAGAGAGAGAGAGAGAGAGAGAGAACAAAAAAAAAACGATCGGATGTGGGGGGTCGAGATCGAAGGGAAACGGAGACCCCACCACCGGGAATTCGGTGTCGGCTCCGTGCTCGTGCTGCGCGCGCGGGGCGGCGCGAAGCACTGCGTGCGCGGGCGAGAGAGGAGTGGCCCTGCCGCTGCTGTGGGGCGATGCCAGAATAACATGTTTTTTTCCCGTCCCGCTGGCGGTCGGTGCCCTGCGGCTGTCCCGCGCTTGTCTAGGGCTTGCCTCGTGGTCGCCCAGCGTTCGTCCTGTGATGCTCCCGGCGTCGTCCCGACGGCTCTCCCGATGAGATTCTCCCGACGGCTGCCCCGACGAGCTTGCCCCGACGGCTGTCCCGTCTGCTGCGGCCCGGTCGCGCCAGGGCGCGCTTCCGGCTGCGCCGGGCGGCGGCCCCAGCGGCCCCGGGCGCCCACGGCCTCCAGAGCGATAGTCGCCGATCGTCGCCGCTGTGCGGCCCCCGCGGGCCCTTTTTGGCGCCCCCGGCAGCGGCGCGGCCGCGCCCGGGCGCCGCTCCCGCGGCGTCGGCGGCGGCCCCAGGCGGCCCCATGGCGCCTCCCAGGCGGCCCCCAGGGCGCAGCCTTGCCTCTGCGCGAGCGAAGTGGGCACGGAAAGAGTGGGTGCAATGCCCAACAGCGGATCCTGTTGATGTTGAACAGGACTCGCTGTCCACGCCGCCGCGGCCTGCGGCCATTCGAGACAGAAGGCCGCCTGCCCAACAGCGGCCGCTGTTGGTTTGGGACAACATTTGCTGTTGGGCATTGCACCCATTCTTTCCGTACCCATTTCGGGTGTCCAAATTGCCGCGGGCCCGTGCGCGCCGAGGGGTGCTCCGGCGCCTGCTTGGCCTGGTGGTGCCGTCGGCATGGCCTTTGACTCCCGACGACTGCTTCTCCGGACGAAGCTCGACAGCTACTTCCCTCCGTCGAGGGTATGGCGCTCAGCTGTCCCGATGTTTTCGCAATCGCAAATCATGTGCTCTGCGAGGTGCAACAAGCATCAGAACAACATGCGCTCTGCCAGGTTACGCTTTCAACAGTAGGCGTGCTGCCAGGCCATAGGCGCAAACAAATGCGCTCTGGGAGGCGGTGGTAAAACATGCGCTCTGCGATGCTACAACGGAAAAGCATGCTCTGCGTAGCAACACGAAAAACAAAGGCAACACCAAGACACAACTATATCAGCCAGCGTTGACTTCAAATAGATAGATGGGCAGTAGAAGAGCGAGAGAAGGAGACGACGAGGAGGAGAGAGCGGGAGGAGAGGAAGCCAAGCATGAAATGGCAAGCCAAAAGAAGCGAGCAGCCATGCAAGTACGGAGAGCCATGGAAAAAGGGGGGGGCATTGGAAAAAGAGGGGGCGCCATTGGAAAAAGGGGGCGCGCCATTGGAAAAAGGGGGGGTCCTGAAGGCCAATCACTCATGATGGGCCGGGGCTCCCACGGGGCGAGCCCATTTGGAGAGCGGCGCCCTGAAGGGGGGCAACGCATACAGCAACAGGCTATCCGTCAGGCAGCATGGATGTTTGCAGCGCCGGTTTTAATATAGGGATCTAGCCATACAAACAACGATGAGTTCGTGCACAAATTCTTCCATAAACTAATCATGTATTAAAAATCATGTATTTTTAAAAACCCTACGTATTAAAAACTGCCCTGTACACGGCGCACGCGGGGCTTTCGCCACGTGGACGCCAGCGACGCCTCCTGGGTGCCCCCGCGCTTGTGGAAGGGGCGCCGTGCCGAGGCCGCGCAGCGTTGCCGCCGCGGTGCCGCCTCGTGGGCTCCGCGTGTGCGCCCCGTGCTCTGGGCCTGCACGGCGCAGTGTTCACCACGGCTTGCGCCGTAGATTCGGACGCCCGAGATGGGTACGGAAAGAATGGGCACATGCAATGCCCAACAGCAGTTCCTGTTCATTCCGAACAGGACTCGCTGTCCACGCCGCCGCGGCCAGTGTCCACTCGAGACAGAAGGCCGCCTGCCCAACAGCGGCCGCTGTTGGTTTGGGACAACATGTGCTGTTGGGCATTGTACCCATTTTTTCCGTACCCATGGCGGGCGCCCAAAGTAGAGTCTGCACCGCACAGCTGGCGCCGCAGATGTCACGTGACGTACAGTCGAGCATCTGATGCAGAGACTGCCTCCCGAGAAGCTGTGCCAGCGTCTCCTGATCGACTTGCTGGGAAGCTGGCCCAGTTTCTTGAGCGTCACGTGACGTACGGTCGAGCATCTGAGTCAGAGACCGCCTCCCGAGAAGCTGGGCCAGCGTCTCCTGATCGACTTGCTGGAAAGCTGGCCCAGTTTCTTGAGCGTCACGTGACGTACAGTCGAGCATCTGACTCAGAGACCGCCTCCCGAGAAGCTGGGCCAGCGTCTCCTGCTCGACTTGGCGGAAAGCTGGCCCAGTTTCTTGAGTGCTACGTGACGTACGGTCGAGCATCTGAGTCAGAGACCGCCTCCCGAGAAGCTGGGCCAGCGTCTCCTGATCGACTTGCTGGGAAGCTGGCCCAGTTTCTTGAGCGTCACGTGACGTACAGTCGAGCATCTGAGTCAGAGACCGCCTCCCGAGAAGCTGGGCCAGCGTCTCCTGCTCGACTTGCTGGAAAGCTGGCCCAGTTTCTTGAGAGCGCTCGCGCCATCCAGCGTTCATGGCAGAAGTTGGCCCGGGCCTGGTTTCGGAAGCCTTTGGGAGGTTGGCCCAGATTTCTGAAGTGATAGTTTTCTTGATCACATTCTCGGCTGTAACTTACATCACATGGAGCGCACTCCACAGATCCCAGCTCCAGTTCACAGCGCCTAGCTCACACGACACAGCCTGCACCAAGTAGCGTTCACCACACAGCTTACGCCGGAAGCCTTTCACCTCCATAGTATAATCACGTACTGTTTGGAATCCACGCTGGCTAACACGCGCGATGCGCGTGCGCCCGTCACTTGAACTGTGCGTTTACACCATCAAACGTGATGCGAATCCCCTCCAACCTCTTGATCTCCTGAAGAGTGTTCCTATCGGTGTTCTCATTACACGTATGTCTATACATATATATATAGTCACTGAGAGAGACAGAGGGAGCGAAAGAGAGAGAGAGAGAGACAATACAAAACAAAGC